TTGTCTATTGCAAGAAAACAGAAAAAGTATGATCGAATTACAGACATCAGTAAAACAAGATGACACTATACTCGTACCCGTACACCGAAACCGGGGTATCTTAACCTCTCTAATAACATTTCCAATCGCGTTATATAAAGAGCAGTTCGTACTCCGTTTTCTTCGATATCTTCATCGCTATTTTGTGTGAAAATATTATAAATTACGCGCCATTTATGCACCGTTTTCGCACCATTTGGAGCCAGTGCCCAATTGCATCACGGGATTGTACTTGCCAAATGTACGATTGTTGGCAAATATTAAAACGATACGTTTATGTTGTTGCAAAATAATACTTTGTCATTGAATGTTTTGTTATTGTTAACAAATGTCTTGTAACCGCCACAAAATTATAGCAAAAGGTTACTTTATCGTTGCCAAATGTGTTATTATTGTAGCAAAATGTTACGTTATCATTGCCAAATGTGTTATTGAATTTTGACACACATCACCCGCCATATTTAACGGGGCCCCTAAACCACAGGCCGCGTTAAAGGTTGTTCCGGCCTTGCTGCCCTCGGATTTTAGGAATACAACTGTGATGACGTTGTTTCAATGTTAAGTTTGCCTGATTTAAATAACCGCATGAAAACGAGGCATTTATTTGGGCAAGACGTAAGATTATTAGATGAAGTACCCTGCATGTCGCAATGTAACATAAGCCTGCATTATTTTTGCACGAACGACCATTTTGAAATTTTTTGAAAGAAGCTTATTGCTTTTTGATCATGAAAATACCATGAATAATTTTAGTTTATAACAGAAATTATGTTGTGTGAGGAACCGATTAAGGTAAGAAATGCTACTTAGATGTATTATAGTGTTCGATTTGCCTTACATTTGTTATTTTAGTGTTGAATAAACATCACAGATTTGATTTTAAATTGAGCGCGATAAATCATGGATTTATTGTGTTATTGTCCGTATAAAATTACTAGACCAAACGTTTATTGTCTGAGATTCTTAAGATGATTGTGCTCAAAGGTCTGTGTTTTCAGGTTTAAATATTTTAAGTAATAATTCAACTTTTAAGCTGTAAATTGGAGCATTGTCTTGTGCCATTGTAGGTAGCTAGTCCCAATAATATGAACAAGCAGTCGTTGGTACTTCTATTAATTTAACTGTGGTTGGTAGGAATGAAACTACCTGAAGAATATAAGGAGAATTTTCCTAATGGTGAAACTCTGCTTATATTTTTCACATGAATTTAACTGTAGTTGGTAGCAGGGCTCGAATTTTATCGTGGCAATTGCCGTAGAGGGAGTACAAAATGCTGTGGATCATTGCGGAAACGACGGCAATTTTTTGCCGTATAGTATAATTTTTATACTATTCACTAAATTACTATATTAACAATAAAATTAAATTTTTGTTACAGTAATTCGAAAAAATGCCGTGGAAACTGCCAAAATTGCCGTAGACAGCTGTTACGTTCTACGGCAATTTTTAACGCCATTGCCGTCGATTGATTTCAGGGAAATTCGAGGCCTGGTTGGTAGGAATGCAACTACCTGAAGAATATAAGGAGAATTTTCCTAATGGTGAAACTCTGCTTATATTTTTCAGTTACTTGCATCCGTACCCACGAAAGCTTGTTCATGCCTTCGTTTATGTCCATTGAATTTGCTTGGTTGCTCTGGGAGGGGGAAATTATTGATTGGTAATCCTTTTTATTTTCTTCAAGGCTGCTATTTGGCATGCTCTTAATCACTATGCCTTCAATGACGCAGCATTTCTGGCCGAGAGATTGTATGCTGAAGGTATTGTGTGTTTTAAACAGTGTTTTTTGGGTTGGGTAATACCCTGAATACTGTATAAAGAGATGCTGGTGGTGGTACAGTACGTGGTTGGTGCATCTGCCTTACACCTCTTTCCCCGGAGTTCAGTCCTATAATAACCTGTTGTCTTATAATTTCGCCTCAGTCGCACGTTAGTTTGACTCTTTTATACACCACTGTCGTCTCACCGTAGCCCAGTTTTAGATCTCTAGCGACAACAGTTGGGACATGATAGAGCTGTCCAATATATTATCGATTTGTGAAGTTAATTTAGTTTAAAAAAATTCATTGGGTTTCCATTCGGGGCCACAGTAATTGGCAACTGCAGTGGTGTAACTTTAATTTTGAATGAAAAGTAGTTGCCCTGAATAAAATTGACTTGCCATCAGACAATGGCCACTGGGGTACCTAGGTAGGGGTATAAATTAAGAGACAACATGCGGACCTGTTCTCCCACTGATCTATATGGCTATGTTATACTGCCTCAGATCTAGTTTTGGCCCACGAAAAACAAAATTTGAATCAAGTACATCAGGGCTCGAAATAACGGCCGATCAATGATCAATGATCGGCAGGAAATTGTTTTTGATCGGCGAAGAAGCAAGGTTGCCGTTCATCTTGATCGGCAGAAATAGATTTGGCCATTGAAAATTATAAGTAACATAAAACACATTAAAAAACACGCGAAAAGCTCTTGTTTAGTTGATATGAGTCATAAGGCTGCACGACTATTCTCGCTCTAAAGTAATTTACCATAAAATAAATTTTCATGAAATACTGTCGTCTCTTCAACAGTTTGCAATCCGGACCGCTGACAACGAACGTTTTTGTTACAATAATTTCAATTTGATAGGATTTTTTGAGTAGGATTTTTTCTTTTTAGTAAGATTTTCTCTTTTAATACTATTAAATAATAAGTTTTAGTTCTTAGTTGATAATGCTGCTGTGTTCCTTGCTTTTGCGTGAAATGCAATAACTATAATTACAAGTTGAAAAGTGCTTTAATTAAAGTAAAGTTTATTAAATGTAGTTACACTATTAGAATTATATATAATAAGTCCAAAAATGTCGTAGATTTAAACTTGAATTTGAAATAAAGTTAATTACTATCGTACTTAGAATTTTTTTCAAGGAAACTTAGTCTTAGACAAATATACTCCTGATCGACCAAACTTTTATTTGATTGGAAAAAAGTCGCGATTGCCGATCACCAAGATCGGGAATGTTGAGAACGTTATTTCGAGCCCTGTACATGCACTATGAAAAATTTATATCTGATAATGAAAACATACATTTAAAGATGCCCAGCTTTTTGTGGCAAGGCAACTTGCCTGATCGGGCAAGTGAGATAAAACGTTTACTTGCCCATCATGATATTCACTTGCCCTGGGCAGGCCGGCAAGCGTTAAGTTACACCTCTGAACTGCTGTTGTGGTTACCCAGCTTTACGCTAAGGTAATAAATTGTAAATTGTAAAAATTTGTTCTTCTCCAATTTAGCTGCGTCAGATGAAGCACTGTATCTATTAGCGACAGTATATTATCGTTCTGGCCAGGCCAAGAGATCCTATCACCTGCTACAAAAACAAGGCTGTCCAACCGCACAATGCAAATTTCTGTTTGCAAAATGTTGTGTTGATCTGAATAAGTAAGGAGACATATAATATATTATACATTGATTGAAACTTTGTTGTGAATTAAACAGCTCAAGTGTTTCTTTAATTAACTGATACTTAGACAGATTTACCAGCAGGTGAAGAAAAGGCCCTTGTTTCAGACTTTTACACCCCCTGGTAACAAATTTTTTTGGGAGGGGGGCTTTGGTGGTGCAGTCGTCAGAGGGAAACGCCTTTCACCTCTGAGATTCTCACTACGGACTAATGTGAAAAGAGTCGTCAACGCTCTGCCGAAAGTCGAGGGTTTTTTCCAGGCTCAACGGTTTCCTCCCACAGGAGAAGTTGACAGGGTGGGTTAGGATAAATACAGTTAAAAAAGTAATCACAATTGTTGTATTAAAGATAAATAGTCTAGGCTAAGTAAGTAACATAAGTAAGCGTAATACTTGATGTGGTTGGTCACTGAAAAGCCCCACTCGGGAGGGACCTGAATAATGTAAGGTCTAAAAAAATACCTGTGGTTCCAGTTCCCGACCAACCCTATTTTTTCTGCTGACCCTATTATTTTTTCAACGTGATTGACCGTGCAACCCTATTTTCTCCGGGTGGTTGCGGCTGCTGCCAAAATGCCGTCTGTTGTCACACTAATTATTGAAAAAAATATTTGAAACCTACCGACCCTAATTTTTTTCGCAATATGAAACCAGAACCACAGGTATTTTTTTAGGCCTAATGTCGGCATCAAACTAAATTAACCATTGAAGAGGTTTTGTAGATTGAAATTTTAGTTCCATTGAGCAACATGCCCAAAATCTTGATGTCAACCAAAAGTACCACGATTCCTGATCAATGGTCCCGATAGAAAAACTGCCCCCTTCCTTTCCTTTGCCCATAAGTGAGGATCCGCACTTGTCATATCATTGACTAAGTTTCTTATTTAATGTATTTACAGGCTGTCTGAAGCAGAGAGGATTTTGACGGCAAGTAACAACTCGATCGGAAACAGTAAACAAGTGGAGACAGTCGTTTCTGAATTTGGCTCTGCAGCCAGTTACTCGCTTGCCTTGTTGGGAGAGGTTTGCAGGTAATATCCAGAATAATTCCATGCCCAAGAAATGCATTTCCCATGCCTGTAGATTTTATTGAATTATGTTGACTGAGGTAGCCTAGCAATTTTGGAGTTGTTAGCCAGTAACTTACTGATTAATTAACACTAAGTCAGTTCCCTCAAACCTTTCTTACAAATCCGTCAAAACTTTACAATTTACCAATGCGAAATTTCTACTGTGAGCACAGAAGCTTTGATAGTGTAAACCAGGGTGCAATGCAATTTAATGGGTTAAACTATGGACTAGATAGCATTGTTCCATGGCTCCCAAACTTCTGCAGTCACAGTATTCCCTTCTTTCATGACGTTTTGTCATTTATTCATTTTTTGTTCTACTATTGTAGGAAAGCAGAGAAAATAACAAGAGCCATTGAGTGTTTTAAAAGTAGTTTAAAGCACAACCCATTGTTATGGAGCTCATTTGAAACCCTGTGTAAATTAGGTAATCATTATCTCTGAATGTTTCATGTTTATTTATAATTAAGTACTAATACAATAATCTTGAATGTACATGGTATGTTTGTTCTAGGTGAAAAACCAAACCCTTCGGAGATCTTTAAATCTGCTTCCTGTCCTCGACTATTGACCACCTTAACGCATCGTGATGCCATGACAACTGGCTCGACCACGACCAGCTCGGAAAATACCACCCACTCCTCTGATAACCATTCACGTCCTACCATTGAACCAATGGCAACCGAGAATATGGATCCCTCCTGGAACACGCCCACAAATGCTGACACTAACCAGTCGTTCACTGCCCCGCCCAATATCCATGGCAACAACGCTAATTATGTTGCATCGCCGACACCCATGGGAACGTCCAACGAAAATCGAGCTCGGCCAAAAGCAGGTCGAAATCTGCTCGGTGTAAGTTCGAGTGCAAGCCCGTTTTCTCCAAGGTTTGTAAGCTTCTATTAACTGGAAATAAAGTTAGTTCAGTTGACAATAAGTGCAGTGCATGTATGTCTGACCATCCCTGCTATATTTTCCTTTTAGTTTTGCAGTTCTACCCATGGATACACCCTCTCCTGACCCAACAACCAATTATATCACTCCTTCGCCAACTGCAAACGAATGTCAGTTACCTAAAGCCCCCAAAGCAAGAAAGGTTAGCAGGCAAATTATTTATCATAAATGAGGAAAGTCAATCTTGTGATTCTTCTCTTTCCTCAATATGTATGACTCTTTGGATAAATGGGTCATAAAATACATTGGGGCTTCAGGTGGCGCAGACATCAGACTATCAGAGCAAGCGCCTGCAACCTCTGAGGTCATTGGTTTGATTCTCCACATGTGAAAACAGTCAGTCCACACTCTACCGAAATTTGTTTCCCCCCCCCCCCCCGAATACTCCAGTATCCTCCCGCAGGGAAAGTTGACAGGGGTGGGTTAGGATAAAAAAGTTAAATAGTCTATGCTAAGTACGCATTGTAATCAGGGGCATGGCTAGCCCTATTGTTTCCCCTTCCTATCCAAATTAAGTTTTGTCAACTACAAAAAAAATTTGCCGACTGGGATTCAATAATTGGACTACCTGATGATTGCAGGGGGGGGGGGGTGTTCCACCCCCACATCCTCCTCTAGCAATGCCCCTGATTATATAATTCAAGGGATTCAATCTAATTTTTCAGATTGGTCGTCGTGCAGACTTAATTTCCAAACTTCCCGGCATCACTGCGTATTCGTCCTCATCTGGCACGAATACCACAGTGTCTCAGACCACCTCGTCTGGTGTAAGACGAAGTACTCGACTGTTTGGATCGACTCCATCAAATACATCGTTGAATGACTCCACAGACAAGGTACACACCAAGATTTGCAAGATTTGGAACATGACCCTCATGGAAAGTTAATAGGGCTTAGAACGGGCCAAAGTCAACGACGTGACGTGTGCATGTAGCGCACATATGAATTATGACTGTTCAACTCATCCAATTTTGCCCTTCATTACAATTACTGCAAAGTTTCTTTCAAAACATTGCATTAAAAGGGTACTTGACACAGAGATGATCACTGTTTCAATTTTACAGAAAAACTTTCTTACGAAGTGTAGACCATAAGCAACCAAAAAATGTCAAATTTTCACTTTCATCTATCATTGAAACTTTCCCAAGGGGGGGGGGGGTGTACGACTTTTCAGGGGTGGTGCAAAACGATCTCAGGGGAGGTGCGCACCTTCCCACACCTCCCCTCAAAATCAGCCCATGGCCTGAACTACCTGAAGTGTTAAATTCTGAGAAAAGTTTTCCTCAATTCTGTTCAGGGTTCTAGAAAGAGCAACAAAGGAGAATTTCCGATTCCAAGAGTCGGGGTAGCGCCTCGGAAAGTCAAGGTGAATGTTTATTAATTTTCATTCTGTGCATATTTCGCGTTTATTTGTTTTCGTATTGTTGAATGCTGTTTTATGTTTCAGACTCGACGTCAAACGAGAAGTTCAGCTACCAATAGTCAGCCATTATCACCCTCGTGTAGCGAGAATATTCCTGAACCAACTAAACCTGCGCAATCCAGTGTCCAGCCATTGAAGATTCCTGCTTCTATGACCAGCTTAGGTAAACATGCTTACGTATAGGTTGTCATGATGACTTATATATAAGTCCTAATGATGAGACACAAATCACGACTAATTTAAAAAACAAACAAACAATAGTTAACATTTTAATCAACGTTTCGACTAGGTTTCAGTCATCATTTGACTGAAACCTGCACACGTAAAAATCTCACAACTTGTCAACAAGATGTGTTTGCAACAGGCTTGTAGCAAGCTTGTCAACAAGTTGTAACAATGCTGTTATTTTATCAAGTTACTACAAGGTTGTCACTCACAACTTGTTAACAAGTTGTTGAATTGCAGGACGATAACAAGTTGTTAGAACAAGTTGTAACAAGTCTGTTAAGCTCAACAACCTTGTATAGCAAGTTGCCAACAAGCCGTTGACAACTTGTCAACAAGTTGGGAACAAGCAGTGCGAACACATCCTGTTGACAAGTTGTTGGAACAACATTGCTACAACTCTGCTGCAGGTTTGTTACAACTTGTGCGTTTTTACGTGTGTAGTCGAAACGTTGATTAAAATGTTAATTATTTTCGGAGTGTCTATTATTTTGTTCTTATTGTGGAATACTATATAGTACATACACTGGGACTCATGTTTAAAATATTAACTGTACTCTAGTGTGAGTGTAAACATTTTATTTTATAATTATTCCTATACACCTCTAGACGGCTTGCTTTCACTTTACCAAGAGCTTGGCAATGCTTATCTGGCACTATCTTCCTACGAATGCAAGAAATCACTATCATTGTTTGAAGCTGTTCAACCACAACATTACAACACATGTTGGGTTTTATCTCAAGTGGCGAGATGCCATTTTGAACTTGCGCAATATCATCTCGTAAGTATTGAAATACTTTGAATATTACGCATGGAATGGCTGGATAGCTCTATCGGTGTGAGGTCCAGTAAGGATACATGAACTTGCGGTTAGAGCTCGAGAAATGGCGTCTGTAGCTCAGTTGGTTAGAGCGTTGCACCGGAATCGCAGGGCCAATACCTGCCAGAGGACCTAGTGTTGCATATTTTGCAACCGTTCCCGGTTAGGTATAAAAGGTGTATACAGTATATATCGTCACTTAGATTATCCATTCACTTCAATATTTAGTTTCAATCAAGTGAAGTGCAGAAAAAATCTTTCAAGTCCAGTAAGGACCACTCGAAGATAACCATCAACCTCTACACACTGCAAAAAAAATTGATTTAAAAAACTCGTGTAAAATAGTGCACCCACACAAGTGACTCTAAATATTGAGTAAAATTGCTCATTTATTGAGTAATATTCTGGGTAATAGTTGCAGTGAAATGATGCATTGATTTAATTGTGCATTGTTCAATATTTTTCAGGCAGAAAAAGTATTCTCACAAGTACGTCATTTGGATCCGTACTGTTTAAAAGGTGATCATATGGTTACTATACTTTATTTATATTCGCCTCAATCAGCAAGCTACATCCACTGAGCTCTCTCTCTCTCTATATATATATCTGGAGCACGACACTTCAGTCATTTGGCCTATAAGAAAAGTGAAGCCAAGGTGGCGACCATTGACGTCCAATAGCTCTGAAGGTCGTAAACAGTTCTAAAACCATTTTCCCAATCCCAGCTAATTCCAGTTTTTCCACAAAACCATAGTGTTTTTTTTAAAGGCATATGACTCGAAAATTGACGGTGTTATTTTTTTGTCTAATGTGAAAGATCATTGAAAACTGCATAGAGTAACTTCTTTGAGAGATTTTTGTTTTATAATATTTGCGATGTTACTCTGAGTGTATATCCACACCGGGCGAGAGTAACATCGCAAATATCATATTCACCTGAGCACACAACATCAACACAGAAAAAATTTTTTGTTTTCTTGCTTCGTTTTGAAGATATTTCATTTGTATGATATGCAAAGGACCAACTTCCTACGTCATATATGCATAATGATTTAGCCCTAAAAGCTGTATATCTTTAATACGACTAAACACAATCAGTAGAAAACCTACATGGGTGTTGTTGTGGACAAATCTCATGCTCGTCATTCATTTTGAGCGCATTTATTTGATAGTGACAAAATTATATAACATTTTAAAGTAAGTCATTATGCATATGTGACGTAGGAAGTTGGTGCTTTGCATATCATACAAAATGAAATATCTCCAAAACGAAGCAAGAAAACAAAAATCTGTCAAAGAAGTTACTTTATAGTTTTCAATGATCTTTCAAATTAGACTAAAAAATAACACCGTCAATTTTCGAGTCATATGCCCTTTAAATCCAAGTCATAAACCGCGCAGACAAAAACAATAGAAAAGGGAGTCTGAAACTGACGTCCAATAGCTCCTCCATCTCTGGTTTGACTTTTGTGGACTCGAGTGCTCGTTCCAGACATATATGGAGCTCACTGGCTAGTGGCTACTTGTTAGAGGTGAAAGGCTAACTACTGTACTACCTCTTCTGTTCTTCCAGGAATGGAACTTTACTCTACGACTCTGTGGCATTTACAGAAAGAAGTTGCTCTCTCAGCCTTAGCTCAAGATCTCGTCGAAACGGAGAGAGTTTGTGCGGAGGTGAGGCTGTACTCAGAATGGTGTGAAGCGCTTTGTAAAAACTGCCTTACGATAAATATGCTATTTTCACTTAAGATAGCTAAGGGAGCTAATGTGACTCGATGGCGCCTGAGTAGTGGGGCTGCTGTTTGGTTGAAGGATCTGTCGAATCAATATTACATAACCACAGGTTTTTCTGAGCAATACTGTATACGATCGTTATTATTTATCTAGGCTTGGGCAGCAACTGGCAATTGCTACAGTTTACAGAAAGAGCACGACACGGCTATAAAATTCTTCCAAAGAGCTGTTCAGGTCGACCCCTGCTTCACGTACGCGTACACTTTGCTTGGCCATGAGTATGTCCTCACTGAGGAACTTGATCGAGCAATGTCGTGTTTTAGAAGTGCAATACGAACTGATCCGAGACATTACAATGCTTGGTAAGACCATTATAAAATGTAGTAGATGGGTGGAGGGTTAGGATTGTCATGGAGGGTTAGGGTTATATCCATGGTCGGATTTTGAGGGGAGGTGCGCACCTCCCCTGAGATCGTTTCCCACCTTCCCTGGGAAAGTTTCAATGATAGACCAAAGTGAAGATTTGACATTTTTGGTTGCTTAGGGTCTACACTTCGTAAGAATTTTTTCTGTAAAATTGAAACAGTGATAGCCATTCATCTCTGTGTCAAGTACCCTTTTAATGCAATATTTTGAAAGAAACTTTGTAGTAATTGTAATGAAGGGCAAATTGGATGAGTTGTACAGTCATAATTGATTACAGTAATACAGCGATGAATATGTACACTACATGCTTACGTCACGTCGTTGACTTTGACCCGTTCTAAGTCCTAACTTTCCATGGGGGTCGTGAGCTAGACCGCTGCAGATCCCCTAAATTTGTGTCCGCCTCCCCCGCTATTTAAACCAAAATCCGGCTTTTGTTATATCTACCTGTATGTAATATTGTATTCTTATGTTGTAGGTATGGTGTGGGAATGATCTACTATAAACAAGAGAAATATAATTTAGCCGAAGTTCATTTTAAGAAAGCATTGACAATTAATCCTTCTAGTGCTGTCTTACTTTGTCACATTGGTGTGGTAAGTCATGTCTGAACTGTTTCTAGCCATGTTTGCTTCATAGCCATATTCCCCAAAGATTGGCAAACTAGGAGACGTCGTGTTGCTGAAACACTGGTTCATATTAATGTTACCCGTTGGTCGGTTGGCCAGAAAGCAATGTTATTCAACCAAAGTATCACTTTTGAGCCAAAATCCGATATGCTCATGAGCATGTGAAACATGAACCCCCTTCATTCTATTTTATTTTATTCTATTAGGTTCAGCACGCCATGAAAAAATCCTTTACTGCGTTGTTAACAATTGAAAAAGCTATGACAATTGATCCAAAGAATCCACTGTGCAAATTTCACCGAGCGACGATTCTTTTTACTTTGGAAAGATATAGAGTATGTTATGATTAATACCTACATATTTTTATGAATTATCTGAACGTCAGCATGATCTCTTCAAACGTTAAAGTATTTAAAATTGTTTTCGAGCATAGTTCCGACAGTGTGATTATAATGATGGAGGAATGATGGATTATTCCAGATTATTGTCTACTCAAACAGAAAAGAAGTAGATCGTTACCTATTTATTCATTTAGCTACTGTAGGTTAAAAGTGCCCGAAGAATTGTTTTATCTGTAAGCAATAGTGTTAGCGAGTCCTAATGGTGGGTTTCACAAAAATAAGCATTGTAGGAAACATTGCTCCACTGCCATATATATACATGATTCCCGAAGATGGGCAAACCAGGAAACATTGTTTCCTAGCCATGTTTCCCGAAGGTGGACAAACCAGGAAACATTGTTTCCTAGTCATGATTCCCGAAGGTGGGCAAACCAGAAATATTGTTTCCTAGTCATGATTCCCGAAGGTGGGCAAACCAGAAAACATTGTTTCCTAGCCATGTTTCCCGAAGGTGGGCAAACCAGAAACATTGTTTCCTAGCCATGTTTCCCGAAAGTGGACAAACCAGGAAACATTGTTTCCTAGCCAAGTTTCCCGAAGGTGGACAAACCAGGAAACGTTGTTGCTTAGACATATTTCTCGAAGGTGGACAAACCAGGAAACATTGTTTTTTTTTTATTTAAACATATTTAGAATAATTTTCTCCAAGAGCTAAAGCTCATCGAGGGAGATCATTGTTTCCTAGCCATGTTTCCCGAAGGTTGGAAAACCACGAAGCAGTTCATATCTTTCAATTTCCTTTTTGTGTTTTGTTCAGGAGGCTTTGACAGAATTAGAAGAATTGAGAAGAATAGTTCCAAAAGAAGCTTTAGTCTATTTCTTGATGGGAAAGGTCAATTTTACTAATTTTATAGTATGCTCTTTCTAGCTGTGGTGATTTATTTGCATCTCCTTGCTTAGTTTTAAAATTAGTCTGTAATGGAAATTGTCTATTTTCAGGTATATAAAAAGTTAGGTGAAAGTCACCAAGCACAGATGTACTTCTCCTGGGCGGTGGACCTGGATCCGAAGGGTGCTAATAATCAAATCAAGGAAGCTGTGGACAAACGGTATTTACCTGAGGACGATGACATCAGCATTGATGACGTAGATTTGACAGGGGAGGTGGGGGTGGGTGAGGAGTTGAATAATGAAAGTAGACTGTCGGATAATGACGATTTAGAATAAATGGAAATATTTGATTAGCTGATATCAGGTTATATTGGCTGATAATATCACGAAATTAATAAGTTTATACAGTAGTTAACGTTTAGAGACAAGAGAGTAATATTGGAATACAAATCATGACGGAAAATTTGTGATTTGAATTGCCTGGTTATTGGTAAATGATGTCCTTATGTATGTATGTGTTTTTTGTATGTTTTTTGGGTCGCGCACAGAGGTAAATTTAAATTGTCGTGCGTTTGCTCTGGGAAATCGGATCATATTCCATTGAAATAATTTTTAAATTAAAAATAATAATGGATAACATCTATTTCTATATATCATGATTTTTTTGTTGAATCAATTTTTACTTCTATGCAACTGTCTGTATGCAATTAATCTGGTTGTAATTCTAGCTAGCCAATCGGGATTCATGAAATCTGGCCAATTATACAGCTGATAAACTTTAACCAATCACGATTGCGCATTTCACTGTGTTCTCAGAAGTCCTTATTTGGCTTACAAGAAATTGTTTGGTTTGGCCTCATTTGAGTTATTTTTGGCTACCTTTGCAAAGGCATCTGACCACTGATCTGTATCTGACTGATCCGAAGAATCGCGTTCCAGGTATATTTGAGATCAATACTTTGGTGGGGTAGCCGGGTTACCGCGTGCATTCGCACGGGCACTCGTCCACGCAGGTCACGCGGAATTTTGCCCGCAAAGTGGGTGTAGGGACCTCTGAAAAGTTCGTAAATACGTGAACGTTCCAAGTTAACTTTGAGTCAAAATTTCAAACCAAGATTAAAGATTTTCCCTATTTTTCTCTTGTGTACGCCAAGTGGAAATCATTTTGATAGAAAGAAGAGCATCTTTGGAGGTTAGTGAACCATATTTCCACTAAATAGCTGGCGAATTTTATACTGTTATTGAGTAATATCAAATCGCTCTATCGTGTTTCTGAATATTTATAGGTAACAATGCTTCTTTTTAAAGGGCATTCCTTGAGTTCAATTGCTTGTTTATGCGTACTAATTTATAGTATTCCCACCGCCCCTTAGACTGTCAAATAACCGTTTAATATTAGGTTATAAAAGTTGTAAAATTCTTACAAAAAGTTAAGCTTGACACGCGATATGACTTGCTTTGTTGGGCTTCGACGTATAATCGAATATTACCTTGACCAGTTTCGTTCTTCAAATATAAATTTTAATATGATGTAAAGTCATAAAAATAGTGTTGAACAAGTTCATGTTTCATTTGGCAGATTATTGAATCATTTTATTGGCTATTGTATCATGATTTGATTCAAAGGATTATTCAATACCTAATATTGCGTTGTATATTGAGGACCAAAATTATTACGTAAACATTAATGTGGCCTGATTTCGCCATGTTTTAATTGACATTTTTAAGCTTTCTATTGTTGTACCTGTTTTACTGCCTTGGCTGTTTTGACAATTATTATTCAAGTTAGTTCACATAAGAAATACAACGAAAATTTCCTGATTTTGACACGCTATTTACAACTGAAATATACTGTAGTATATTATGATCGACAAATTACAGCATTTCCTGAACTCTATGGTATTCTTCCCTAATTATTAAAGCATTTCATTTTCATGTATGGATTTAAACTTTCATGCACACCCATAACCTAAAACCTGGTTTAGTCCACCAAAGGGCTGTTAACAAATAGATTTCATCGCACATTTACACAGTGTTCCAAAATTGTCTTTGCCCCCTATCGCATTGAGGACCAGGTTTATTTTCATGGAAAAGACATTTTGTCACAGTATTTTGTAACTATTAGTTCTACCCCAAACAAGATTTACTGATTAACGGTACAAATATTATAAATTTGTATACTGACCAGATTAGAAAGTTTACAAAATATGCTGGTGGCCCAGAATTGTGTGTCCGAGATTATGAAAATTTAATAGTAAATTCATTGGGAATATCAACACTGCGCCCCAAGATCTCTGCTGCATGTTGCAAACTTTCCAGACTGGCTGGTGACATTGAATTTTGACTACCGTTTTGCACAGACATGACACCCTCAAAATGTTACATGCCAATTCTGTTTTTCAAAGTTTAACCCATTGAGTGGCAGCACTTTCCCCCTGATGAGTAAAATCGTCTGGTGTTAGACAGAGTAAAATAATAAAGTATGGTGCATTGCCACTTAAAGGATTAACAGGGTGCATGGTCAGATAGTCTGATTAACCCATTGAGTGGCAGCACTCTTCCCCTGACGAGTAAAATCGTCTGGCGTTAGACAGAGTAAAATAATAAAGTAGGGCGCATTGCCACATAAAGGTTTAACTGTACATACAATTCTGTAAGGTACCCAATATTACACAAAAGTGTGAGTGAGCCTGTATTGGGTGTATGGGTGTGGTTATGAGGTTATGGTTAAGGGGAAATAACCACCCACACTACTTTTTAATCTTCTTTCCTTTTTCTCTTCTGCCTAACTTACTACTAATGTGTGAAGGAAACAAAGTATCAGTAATGTAACAAAATATTTACAGTTGATTTCACAAAAAGTTTGCCAAAATGTTCCAAACTTCATTCCAAAGTTTGCAAATTGTTGTGAAGTTCAAGAGTTCATATTGGATTTCAAAAGCTGGTTTGTGAACAAAGGTTGTGGTCTATGAATTAAAAGAAGCCAATTGAATGCTTAGTTTACTAACTGCTTTGTGAATGTTATTATGAACTTTGGAACAAAATTTTACGAACGTCGGAAGGAATTTCTGAACATTGCGGCAATTTTGTGAAATCAACTGTAATGCTTCACAGGCATTCTGCTTTGAGACATATCAGTCACCCTAGATGAGATGACTGATTCAGAGATTTTGGGTGCAAGCTCTTTGTCATTATTAATTTTGGCATTAATAATGCCATATGTCCTCGTTCTTAAAATATTATGACATTGTATTCACTTCAAAATACATTTCAAAAAATATTTGTGTAAAAAAATATTGATGGCACAACTACAGGGTTCCCAAAAGAAGTCATCACCTGGCTGCAATTTTCACTGTCTGTAATATAGAAAATTGCTGGCTGTTTCTCAAAATTTCAAAATTAAGGTGTCTTGCTTTTATATCATAAATTTTAATTATACAATTACTTTATGGTTTCTGTGTTTGGATGGCCTGATCCAAACATGCGGGAATGTTGCGAGAGTTAAGAAAAGCGCGCGAAAGCACGAGCCGAAGGCGAGTGATTTTGCGCGCTTTTCTTAACTCGAGCAACATTCCCAAGTGTTTGGATCAGGCCATCCTAACAGGGAAACCATAAAGTAATTGTTTTATAAAATAACAACAACACGATAGTCTTCCGTGTTTGGATGGCCTGATCCAAACATGGGTTTCGACCAATCAGAGCACGCGTTATATACATGTTATTTTATAAAATACATTACTTTACAGGCTGCCTTCTTGGAAGAGATTTTTCACATTAGAACATCTGATCAATACTTGGTGATACTTGATACCTGGTGACTTCTCCCAATGGCTGGACGAGGCCAACAACAACAGCGATCAAACGGTCCTCCGCAGGGAAAAATATGTCAGTTTAAATTGGTATTACTTGGTAAGTGTTTTTTACCCACTCATATTCTATATCTTTCAATTGAAAATTTCCTTTAACTCATTTCCATGGTTACTTATTATGGGTAGTTTTTGTGAAATTTCGTGAGGACTTAATACATATCAAAATGTCAACTGAATATTTGTAATCTTACTGTTTTAGGTGAATCAGCTGTTGGAAAATCTAGTCTGGTTCTGAGGTTCGTAAAAGGCCAGTTCCACGAGTTCCAAGAGAGTACTATTGGAGGTAATATACTACCAATTCAAAGCCTCCCTTGGTCCCCAGCTCAACAGGATCCCCAAAGTGGCAAGGGCCTTTAAAATTTCTTGATAGAAGAAAATCCTAGCTGTGTCAGATAAAAGAGAGATTCAGATTTGACTTCGACCATTAACCAATCAGATGTGTTTGATATATCCAGTTAACCAATCAGATGTGTTTGATATATCCAGTTAACCAATCAGATATGTTTGAGTTAACCAATCAGATGTGTACTAAGCCAGTGAGAGGTAGTGGAAGTCAAATCTAAATCTCTCTAATGTACAATAAAGTATTATATATTGTAAAACACTGCTTTTCTCATTTTACAATTATGATGTGCAACCTCTCTGGCCCTGTATGATTATTCAGCATAATTAGCATTTTAATATATATTTTAGGGTGATGCGGTTTTTCGGTAAACCGGAAAAAGCGATTTTTTTTTAAAACCGAATTACTCGATGTTACTTTTGGAGAAAAACCGGAAAACCGGAAAAAACCAGGAAGAAACGAAAAAAACGAAGAAAAATCGGTATTTTACTAAAATCGAACCATACAGTTTCGCGCGAGCTTGAAGTCTTGAACTGATAAGCGATTAAGTGGATCAAACGATGGTGAATTTTGATTCGCTAGCAACAAAGGCGGACGTCTGCGAAGACAGGTCTAAAATATTCATATCGAACACGGCATAGTTTCGATTTTCGATCGTATTTTTTTAAAAAACCGGTTCACTCGGTTTTTTCGTTTTTTTTGGTCGGTTTTCGGTTTTTTGTAGAAACCGCCTCACCCTAATATATTTATAATATATAATATATTTTTCAAGCTATTTTTCATAATTTCTATTTTTGATTAATCGGTTCCAGATTAAAATGTTTGTTTTGTTATTTTTAGCTGCCTTCTTAACACAGACAGTCTGCCTTGATGATACAACAGTCAAGTTTGAAATTTGGGATACTGCTGGACAAGAAAATATCCTTTTATTTATTTTTATTAAATCGTAAACAGTCACTTGTCGTATGTCTTCTCTATGCAGCTTTGTGATAATAAATGTGTACGAGTAGTTGTTTTGTCCTTAACAGCTTTGTACGATACCACAGTCTAGCACCAATGTATTACAGAGGAGCTCAAGCTGCTATTGTTGTTTATGATATCACTAACACAGTAAGATATTATTATTGTTATATAATTGACAGAGCTATCCAGCTCATAGTTCAGAGCTACAGCAACGAAGTACTATCGATAAAACATGTTTTGAAAAATTTTGGTAAAATGCAAGGGGGGGACCACAGGTACCCTGGGCTTAACAAAGGGGGATCACAGGAAATTTTTCAAAAATTCAAAAACATTGAAAAACCACCTCAAACTAGTCCAAACTTTCTGAAAGTTGTCGAAAACCTCCCCTGTCATCAAAAAAATTACTTAGCGGAGACGCTTAACTATATATTATGAATATTTTAGGACACATTTTCTCGTGCTAAAACGTGGGTCAAGGAATTGCAACGTCAAGCAAGTCCAAATATAGTAATTGCGCTTGCAGGAAACAAAGCAGATCTTGCTAATAAAAGAGTAGTCGAATATGAGGTAAATTTGATTTGGAATGAATGTGATGTAGCTTCACATTGACCTGGTCATCAAATCCACAGACCGATTACAGTAATGGTTATTCTTTCTTCTCAGGATGCCCAAAGTTATGCAGATGACAATGGACTTTTATTTATGGAAACCTCGGCAAAGACAGCAATGAACGTCAATGAGATATTCCTGGCCATTGGTAAGTTCCACCAACTTCTGTTGATCCTGGGACAAACATTTCTCGTCGTCCATTCATCCTATTATTTTTCAAATTGGAATGACAAGTGTAGTTATATAGTAAACATACAAAATCTTTTTTTATTGAAATCGTGTCGGTGAATTTTTTGTCGGTGTATTATGGCAGTTTAGAATTTCGATTTTGCTTGAACAAGGTAGGTTGTGCATTTTTACAAAAATTCAAATATTGATATTTTTGACAGTGTAACTTAAAACCCGAATAAAATGTCCAAAAAGTAAAGCTTGTTTTCGCGACATTTCTAATCTGAATAGTAGGAAGCCTGCAATGTTGCTCAAATGCACCCGACTTTATCATTTTACTGTAACGCCAGATTGTTGGGAGAGTCTTGTGTGGATTATTGGGTTAACCAATGCTTCAATTATTTTAGCTAAAAAATTACCCAAGACAGACCCGAATGCAGGTGGACAAGGCGCGGGCCAACAACGCCCTAAAGGAAATGTTGACCTCCAAGAACGAAACCAAGGTGGATCCGGGGGGTGCTGTAAATAATACGGACATTGCGAGAATTAATTTTTGGGACCTGGAACAAATGTCTGAAGGCTCACTGTGTCATATTACTTATATACACATGCACTGTAATAGCTTTCAGATCGTGTGACATCATTGTTTTTATTTTGTGATGTCATAGTGTACAATATATGACATCATTTTGACCTTATGTTTCCCTTGATGATAAATCAAAGACATAATTTTTCCATAATGTATGATGACATCATAGTTGAGAATGTATGATGTCATTGTTTCACAAAGTCTATGATGTCACCCAATGTACCCTATGACGTCACATGTCTGTAATTCAAAATATCATTCACGATTTGTAGTATCCTCGCTGTGGTGCCTTAGGACTGTTTTATAATGTTTTCTAAGGTGTTTCTTGATTTAAGCTTTATGATGCTCGAACTAAGAACACATATGTTTGATTTAGTATATGTAACAATTTATGTAATGACATGTAACATTTATGGTAGATTTACTAGAATTATTACTAACTCTACAGTGCTAGATCCTGGGTGCGTAATCTCATGGTGAACGATCATGATACGGTTTTAACTGGTTGATGCAAAATTTGGAATATGCGGTTTAGTATACACAAGATTCACAAACAGATGAATTTTGCTAAGTGTGACGTGGCGCATGGTAGTCAGAGTAATAATTACGGGAACAATTCGGTATTTTAAGAAACTACAAAATAACAGTAACTCCGAATAGCATTTTGATTTTTAAACCGACATTTCGACAAGTTTGTACTCATCCTCAGGATTAATCAAAATGTTATTCAGAGTAAGTAAATTTCACTATATGTGTCGACCTTGTGTTTGCATATATGTGTTCGTTCCTATAAGCTTCGCCAGTTCGGTACATGTGAAATAGACCTTTTAAAAAGTCTGCCTTGTGAGGTAGTTTGGAGATAAAGGAAAACCCCGCACAGCCATTTGGCTTGCCTGATTGGCCCACATGATTGTATTTATCCGCAAACTACGTCACGAGGCAGACTTTTAAAAAAGGTCTATAAGCCACCATGTGTAGCAATCTCGCAGATTATTGCTCTATAGCTCTGGGTATGACATTCAACACTACCCACCTGTACCAGATTCCTCCTGAAAAATAATTCACCTAGAGATTGCCACGCCCACTTTTAATTTATTTCTCTACCTTGGCGTATATAACACTGTGTCCTCTATATAATTCTCGCTGTTAAACATGTTTTTAACACCGAGAAACTGCATCTGTTATTAATTTTATCATAGTTCACTTTATTTGCTAGCACTTGAGATAATAAAATTATCATTTCATTTTGAATTTTGCCTTGTCGTTGAAGCATTACTGTAGGTGATTTCATGGGGGATTTTGCATAACACTTCGCATAATGGTACCATCCAGTCACGATCCAGTGGGCAAAATGTTCCATTGTGTTTTCCATTGTTTTTTCCATTGTTCCATTGTTTTGAAAATCCAACTGTTCTCCATGCCATCCAGTCATTCATAATGGGTCCAGTATGGTACAGATCAAGTCCACAATAAACACAACTTTATTTTCAATTATGAATGATATTTACATTGTTGAAAAACAAAAAAAAAATTGTTTTTTACTTCCATGCATTTTTTGGTCTTGTCCCGTTTTCGTGAACCAAGCATTGGTGATCAAATACAAATTATTTTCTTAAATTTCATGGCATTGTTAAAAAATATTCCATATTTTTATATGTCTTTAAAATACTACATTAAACCATAATATGCTTCAAAAATCTTAATACAATTCGACGTTTTGTAATGGTTAAGCTGTGCAGCCTTCGTTTTTGAGATCAATCAATGTCAATTTATTTACCACTTGGCCAGGTGGCCATTAGGTCTTGAAACTTGTGTTAAGAGTATCATTGCACAATAATTTTAAAACCATAGCTTTCATTCGGGTCGTAAAATGAGAGAGCAGTGTTGCTTATTAATAAATAGGACTTAAATAGGACTGATTTGATAGGACTCTAGCTGACGTAAGCAAAAACAATCTGTGACGTCACGCGTATTGCAAAGTTCTCGGCATTTTTGTTGTTTCGCTATACTTTCCGCTTTAAAAGAGTAATATTGAAGCATATACTGGTCTAATTGTTTTAAAAACATGCCTAAGCCACGACAAAGTATTCAAGGTAAATGTTTTTCGTCTTTGTTTTGTATTTTTTTACATTTGTAGCTACGAAATTGGCGTCCCCAATTTTAACGAAATTTGGGATGCCTTTTTCACTGTTTAGTGCTTGAAATATTTGCTAAAATTGACTGGGAATACTTAGAGATTTCATCGTAGAATGGCGTGGTTATATTCATTTGCTCTTTGACTAAAATGTTTAGCTGTATTATTGCTAAACATGCATGCCGTTTTTGAGAATTTGGTTTGCAACTAGGTTTCAACATCCAATCACGCCATCAGCCCATTGAAAACATTAGGTCACGTCAACTAGTTTCCTATCCATTTATTTTATTATCCATGCTATATAAGCAACAGTGCAATTTAATTTCATTCAAACATTAAAACAACAATTATGTTATTGCCACAACCGTGTTGAGCTCGACATTGCGTACAAGGGTAGTTAATGTGATCTGTGCTGGTATGGTGTAGACCATTTTTATAAAAATTTGAATGCATTCAATTAACCATAGGAGAAAGAGTAAAATTCCAAATGCCTGAAATGAAGGAGTAAGGAAGATTTTATGTTTCGTTGGGAGATGAATAGTATGCAAATATTTGATACTACGAAATCTGATGGAAAATACTGGATAGTTCTATCAGTTCTAAATTGTAGTCCCTAAAGATCCTGTAAGGACCATCCTTTCTTGGTTCAATGTCAAAAGATGAGGAAACCTAAGTTAACATTATTCGTACTAGATACCTCTATCAGTTTTAAATTGTTTTCCCAAGAGGTCCAGTGAGGTCATCCCTTACATTATTCTGGCAATGAGACCTGAGCGAAATTTAGGTGGAAAAACATAATACAGGTGCAAACTTACCATGGATATATAAAGCGTGATAAAATTTGGTTTCTTCGTCTCGCATTTACCATTGTTTTCTTTACACTGATTGAGCAGAAAATTGAGTTCATCATTCACATCTTTAACTAATGTAATTAGATTTGCCAACCATAGACATATACCAGCCAACACCATAAACGTCATCCCAAGGGATATAAAGAAACTCTATAAAATATACAGTCAATGTTGGTCAATACTGGTGAAGGAGTTAGTTCGCTTTTTGAGTTCACATGGGATGTATGGAATACGACGAATTTGCGCACCGGTCCGAATTAGCTAGTGCATTTCAAAGGCGTACTACGTACGTGGGTGGGCCCTATATCGAGGAAAAGAGTTTACCTATACCGCTTCAGAATTCCTGTCGCAAATGAGATCCCCTAACGAATTCTTGTCCATAGCATTTACCCCCTGGGGGCCGGTCGTTCAACGGAATTCTCCTAGGGCTGGTTATTCGACTGCCAATTAGCTTAACCCTAGGTTAACGTAAAATTCAAAGCAAACTTTGTTTTTCTAATAGCTTGTCTATAAATTCGGAAATCTTGTCTGGATCGCGATAGGAGTTTACTTCTGTGAAATTTTGAAATAAACAGACGTGCAGAAATACACAAACCGAAACAGTGGGTTAAATTTTAACCCAGGGTTAGCGCTAATCCACCTTAGTAAAATTTTCAGTATCCTTGAGGAATTCCATGGCCAAAACCACCTTACCTCAATACGAGGGTAGGGATATTAAATGGAGTCAGCCCTAATTCTTACCACTTTAATATATGTTTGCGATTCTTGCAACCCATGGTGAACTACGTCGAGTATTAAAACAACGGTTGCCACTATCAAAGCCAGAGCCGTTGCGACCACAAATGTTATAACTGAAGGAAGGAGCAACTTTTCAAACTTGAACTGTCTCAAAGGTAGATCTAATGAGTACTGCACCGTCACGTTTGATTCGTAGATGAACGGGAACGTGAGATGAACACTGTAGTAGTAATGGGAATCCATCATGTGTACTCTTGTATTTTGATTAAATATTGTACACAGTACAATTGCCACCACAGCACAAACCTAGAAACAAAACAAGCATGCCCTTAATATCTTTGTTTGACAGCAATTCTATAAATGTATTTTCGGCCACACTGATTTGAACATTGAACATTTTGTGTCATTTATACATCATAATCGAACTCGTACTCAGAATCCATCTCTAATGTTAAAATCTCCATACTGTAGAACATCCACTTTCCAAGGATCGTTCTTTAACCGAATAGTTAAAACTTGGAATAATGTTGGAAAAATAGCCTCTCCTGAAAAGTTCGCCAGTTTAACAACTTTTAAAAGCTTTCTGCATGTGACATACACCGCATTGGTCAACAGTACTTTTAATGTTGATATGGCATGTACTTGGTCGCTCACAAGAGTCTGCCCCTGCCACCGTTCTTAATATGCATGTTATGTAATATATATTTGTATAGTAAATTAGGTTGGTTTGTTTTTCTCCTTTTTTTGGAGGAGGTGCGCCTAGCATGGGTCTCGTCCCGTTTGCGCTATCCCCTTTGGACTTAACTTGTAAATGTTTCTACTATATTTGTCCAATAAACGGCTGATAAATAATAAACTTGGACGCTTTTGGATGAAACGTTTGAATAAAAGCAAACCTAGTTCAACAAATGTATTTTTCGTAAAGATTTGGTTTAGCTACAGCTACTATGATTTTAAGTAATATTTAAAATCCGACTATGAGGACTGGACTAGATTTCAAGTGCGCGCAATTTGATCAAGTCCGAGGGGAAGCCGAGGACTGGAACAAAATGCGAGGAGATCCAGTCCAGTCCTCAGATCCAGTCCAGTCCTTGAGATCCAGTCCAGTCCTCATAGTCGGATTTGAAATGACATCTCATACGAATAAAATATAAATCACTACTTAAAGTGAGGTGAATTAATTTTGATCCAGTCCTAGGACTGAATCAATAATTTAATATACTTGATCAGGTATCCAGTATTATCATGTGAGCAAAATAAAGCAATATGGTTAGCTATGGCTAGTTTAAATGGAGTCCTGTAACTCGACCAGAGTGGCCATAATATATCCGACAATTATGATATGACCTTCCTAATTTAGCCTAACCCACCCTATCAACTTTCCCTGTTGATGGGTGGAACAAGAAAAACTCACGCCTTCGTATCAGAGCGTTGACTGACTCTTTCCAGTCAAGCAAAACTCGCGACTTTCATATGTGAAAGGGTCTGCGTGGCAGTGAACAGAAGGATTTGTAAAACAAATACGGCAACAAAGCAATGCTTTGGTTAACCGCTCAACCGCTTTTGGTTAAGCTACAAAAACCTTGAGATCCAATAAATTGCGCGAAATCTAATATAGATTACCTTGAATTTCGATCTCTCTATTTTGAAATTAGTGCGCATTATATAAACACAATGCCGTTTAAAACGAAATATTTTCGGGTCCAAAAATAAATATAATAGAAAGAATAATTTTAAATATGCCTGGATGTTAATCCATGTTTTCCGTCGGTTATTGTTCTCGCGCAAATATAATAATGCGTGCTAAAACAAAATCAATGACACATTGCTAAAATGCGCGGATAAACGACAACACAGTATTAAATTTCAGTATTTATTTTCTGAACGAGTACTTTTATATCGACCATTTTGTACTGTATATTGCCATATTTCCGTCTCTAATGGACCGTGGAATCTTGTACTTTCGGTTTCGTTTTCTGGGTAAAATAAGCAGGAACTTTGGACAAGTTAAGGCATGTAACAAAATGTATAAAATGCTGCTGTGAACGCTTCTCAGGTTTCAAAATACATCCCAATCATATCCTACGCAAGATGAAGGATAAAATTTGTAGGATAAAATACTTAGCATTCATGTTTATTAATCGTCTCTATATATTGTATAAAAACTGCTTTTTAAACCGAAATAACTAGCAATGTGCGCGGATCCATTTGTGATTTCGAAAATGCGCAAGCACGTAATTTTTTCTTATTCCTTGACGAGACTGGACTTGCAACAATTGCCTGCAACGTCGTTTATTAATGCAGATCGAAAGAAATTGACTGTCCAAGACTCTTTTGCAATCTCGAGTCTTTTTTAAAGAGGTATATTCACAGAAAAGTCCATTGGACGGTGACTTGATAATTGCATGAAAAAGAGGTGCCGTGTATAAATTATTATGCACTGATTATTGGTTGAAGCATTTTATCAATTTATATATATTATTTAGATATAAGGTTTTCGTGTTTAGAATATGTACATGAAGAAAAAGCCTGACTAAAATTGATCTGTCTAAAATTGAATGTTATTTATCTAAAAACATCATAATAGGAGCCTATTATGGTGTATACCACCGCGGTGTTAAAGTTCGTATTTGGGACAATGAAAGGTATATTAGTTGAACTTGGACAGGCCGATTGGGGAACGACAGGTTTCCGTATTGCTTTTACTACGATATACATCCAATGCGCAAACAAAAACACTTTGCAATATTTTTTCACCAGAACATTTATCACGCAACAGTGTTTGTATGTATTTTTGCAAAAATGGTTATTATTATTGCGCATGTAAGCAAGTATTATTAAAAGTTATTAGTATTTAGTACGCACCATTTGAGTAATTTTCAACCAAAATCTTGTGGTCCTTAAAATCGTCCATCGGCGTTGTCCTAGTGCTATATTCTCCATGATTTTTGGAAACAAATTTTTTCAAAGTCGACTGGCGTAATCCTCTCCAAATCGCGTCAATACAAATAATGGTAGATACTTGGGGTAATACCAGCTTGGGAAATATTTTGCTTTGACATGTCCAATAAATGCGCGCGTTTTGATTGGTTAGGTACAATGAGGTGGTGTGACGATACGATGTTTTATACGATATGACTCATCGGACTGTTCCATATAGCAGTCCAGTTATTTATTACAGTCTTCCGAAATATTATACTTCTGCTTACTTGACGTACAGAAAGAAATCCTTGCAAGAAATCCAAGATGGCGGGTTTTTTAGCATCAGTATTGAAAAATGTATCTTCAAAGATTTTATCACGCAGCTTTTTGTCCACAGGTGAGATAAATTTTGCTATTTGTACATATTGTTCTTGCATTACGTGTCTTACATATATTTCTTCGACTTCTTACTATTTGGCAAACCAGTACAGTTCAAATATCTATAATTATATAAAAAATCAATTGTTCAAATTTACACATTCCTTACTTTAATACGACGTATTATTCCGTACGACTCTCTTAATTCTTAAACATGTGTATATATATATTTTCCCGAGGCCTGAATGAAGACATTGTGACATTTTTTAGACTTTAATCATTGTGTAGACCAACAAATTAACATTAACCTTTTAAGTGGCAAATATGCACCTTACCATTATATTTTACTCTGTTTCATGCCAGACAATTTTACTCGGCATGGGTGGGCAATGGTTCAAATGCTTGCATTACTCAGATAGAAATATTGTTTCAACCTAGGTTTTGAGAGTCCACTCGGAACAAATCTGGCTCAAAGATGCATCAGTACTTCCGTGGCGAGTAATAAATATTATGTGAAACCGAATTACCTGAAGCGCTGGGCGAGACGTGATCAGAAAAGAAGAGAAATGTTTGCAGAATACGAACAAAAGAGAGGTAGATTACGTATGCTAAGTAAGTGTGATATACTACCTTCGGCTGTACGCAAGCAAGCTGCAGCCGAGCTAGCCGAGTTACCTAAAGACAGTTCGATAACGAGAGTTAGAAATCGTTGTGTGCTTACTGATAGAGGCAGAGGCGTGATAGGCCGGTTTAGAATTTCACGAATCATGTTCAAGTATTACGCTGAGAAAGGGTTAATACCTGGAGTGCAGAGATCTCAATGGTGAAAAACTGTTAAATTACTAAAAATATTGGAGATTTTATATATATATATATATATATATATATCTATATTTATAAGACTGTGTCGGCTGTTCAACAAGAATATTGTTAAATAGTCGCATAAAACATTGAACAACTAGATCCTTTTAAAATGTTAAGAACTATAAACTCTGGGGACTTAAAATGTAATGTAATCCTGGATCGTAAATGTAAAGTTGCGGTTGAATGATAAGAGTTTCCCATACCGCTCACATTTGAAAATTATATGTATTGACACACATATATATGTTGAACAAATATGGTAGAAAGATTCAAGAGAATAGTGACACAAGGCAGTATTGTAATTTCTTGTACTGGATCTATTGTTTTGCAAAACATTAAATATTTCCAACAATTCACAGATACCATGCATAGAAGCAATTAATTTTTATAAATTTATTTATTTTATTTAAAAAATGACAAACTATGGATTTTTAATTTTATTTATGACTGTTGTTGCTCGCTGTTTTATTGCATCGTGGGAATGATTTGTGAGCGTCTCTAGGTTTTGTAGGATCCCAGAATCTTCAAGCTTGCTTTTTTCTACAAGACCTGCAAAATAGATTAAAAACCAAAACATGTTATTTCATTTTCCTGCCCAATGGGGGCAACTGCTCTAGATATCTAGCTTTTAAATAGAGTCAGTCACTGTATCCTCCTCTCTTAATTCTGTTTAGTACCCTCTGGTCTCTTCTTGTGATTTCTTTCCATGTCAGCCTCTGTCCTCCAACTGTTTGTCTTCCTTCTATCGATGGAATGTTTATGCAATGCTAATTTGACTAATTAAAATCTTCCCTGTTTCATCCTATTCTCACATTTCATATCTTATTGCTGCATCTAACTTCTGATTATTTAAGCCTGTCTTGTACAAGAGAATTTTACTTTTGGTAGTATTTGATGAAGAAACAATTTTATATTACATTATACCAACCTTTAATGAATAAGGCCTCAATAACAGCTATTGAATTATATCGTGTCTGAGGTTCGGCATTTTCTGCACATAGCACACTATTGATGGTTGCTAGCAGGTTACTTTCATCAATTTTATGTGAATACTCATCTGCAAAAATAGGGTTACGATTCAAAGTAATTAGGTTTAAGATTGAAAAAGATTAGGAGCAATATAAGTTGGGAAAACTGAGAAATGATAAAACAAAAACATACTATTTATAACATTGACAGCCAGCACAATGCCAACCAATGCTTCATTTTGCATGGTCGTATGTGTTGATGTTACCATGGTAACAACTGGTAGTAAACCATTGTTTTTAACCACAGCTAAAATAGACTCTGCAAGAAAAATAGTTGAAGTGTGAGAACTGACCAGAAAATAGCAGTATTTATTGAGTTTCAACAGTTTTGACATAATATTGTGAATTAAAAATCCTACTATGTTTTTTTTATATTTACGAACCAGATTTCCTGGCATTCTTTAACAATGTAGCCAGGAGTCTGGAAGCTTCAGACTTCAGTCCTTCAATGCCAGAATCCTGGGCTAATGATACCAGGTTTATTATACATTGCTCCTGTGAGCATACTGTGTCAACTGCAGCATCTATAGGGAAAGAAAATAATAGTATTTCTGAGTCCATAAATCTATTGCATATCATACAGTATCTGCGGTGGTTGAAGTCTAGTACCTTCTTTGTAATCTAACCTAATTGTAGGATATCATGATAAAATAGTCATATTGTAAGTTCAAACTTATTTCAAATAGTTTGCTGGAGACACCCAGCTTGTAGAATTTTGCAGTAGCAATGTTTCCCTACCTTGTCCCTGGACAAGCAATCGTGTTACGGCAGTTGCTCGAAACACGAGAGGTAATGGAGTATCCGATGAACCTAGGAACTCCAAAGTGCAATCCAATGCTGCAGCGTCTATTAGGACACGTTTGTTGCTTGCTACAATTTAAAATGAGAGATGTACTCTATACATTAGATTATACGGAATAGGCTACCACATTCCCATTTAAATCTTCATTTTAGATGAAGATTTATTATTAAAGATGTTGGAATAGATATGCCACTTTTGAAATGAACATTTGGATTTTAGATACGATCGATTTATTCAAGCACTATACCTGGAATGGCTAGATTCTTCAATGCACTTAAAACAGATACTTGTAACTGAATTTGGTCCTGAAATATGAAAGCAACATATTTATAAACACATTTGAAAATATAGGACCAATTAGATATGGGACAGTTTGAATGGGTATAATTCAACATAATCATGTACAAACCGTTTCCGTATTTTGTGAGTTGTTCCTTAATAGACCTATAAGCTTGTGGTGCACTTCCATTTTTACAAGTCTTATGCAGTTTGATTCTATAAGGTAGAGAGGTGCAGATAAATATTATCTTTCCATACCATAGTTCATATTACTTTCAGGGGTGTTGGCAGCGAGTGCTGCTTAAGGCATAGGTTTTCTCTAGGTACTCTGCATGGTTTCCTCCAGCAGTAACACTGGATCACTTGGGGATTATCCTTATTGTACTGAAGGGATATAGTGTAGAACTGGTTGACCACTCAGTATAAAAACAAAGTGCATAGCGGGTAATATCATACAAGTTCAACGTCAGCCATATCACGAACCTGTTCGAGCTATATTCCCAAAGGCAACAGGACATGAATTTCTAACATATGCTTCAGTAGACTGTGTCCACAGCAGTATTTTATCAATAAATATATTATTTTCTTCAGCAAAAAGTTCACCTAGACAGATATCTGTTTAAAAATAACATATAGACTGTTAAATAACAACAATACTAGTAAAATTTCTTTGCAAAGTATATAATTATTAGAGAGTCTTAATGACAGTCCTGAGGTCTATTTTACGATTGATTTATCCAACTCACCATCTCCAAGTAGCAAAATTATTAAATCAACTGATATTTTCAATTTCTCCAGCACATCCTTATTATTGGAAGATGTATTTGTCGAGACTATTTCTTGTAAAATGTCCACACAATTTTCTGACACTAAAGCTTGCTTTATACCATCTAAAGAAAAGGTTGCACTTCTTATACATATTATGTATAAATCATAAATTGATCATCTGTGTATTGGTGGGCTTCAGTATGCATTCGATGGTGGAAGGTGGTGGTCATGCATGCAATCCCAGAAATGTATATCATGCTATTCTAGACCGGGATGGGTGCTCTGTCAGATGGATCGATGATTGTTCTTGATGGATGTAATCAAATTATATTGTAAGTCAGAACACTTGTGGAGTATTTGCCCGGTAATTGTACATCTTCATTTTTTAAAGGTCGTCATAACCTACAGCTATGGTTAGCCTAAGTTGTGCATGATGACATCACCTTCTTCAGATAATGCCCTAAGGCATTCAGCAAGTGATATGGTCAGCTCCCCAGAGGACAGTTTCAATGCTTTTACAAATATTTCACAACCTCTGGTTGCGATGAAGCTTGAGACTCCTTCATCTAAATGTAAGACAGTTAAATCAATGCAGTTTCATAAAAAAAATATTGTTGATAACACATACTATATTGATAGTAGCCTATGGACTTGAAGGTAAAGAGCCAGTCCTGCAAGTTTCAACATGACTGTGTAAGATTTACCATTAGCAGAACTTTACATTGGTTGCTGTACAAGATGAATTATAAAAACAGTGACAGAACTATCAAGTGCCAATAAAGTTGCACATTTCAATCCATATGTATAAGCACCTTACCCATGTCGAGCAAACATGATACTGCATTTGTTGCCATCAAAGATAGTTTACTGTCATTCATATTGTCTTCAACATATCGAAGTAGCAATGGGATTGCTCCACTCTGTATAAAGTCTCTTTGTAATGTCTCTTGAAATGGAAAACTGTTCATATTAATTAAAAGAGGATTGTATGATCTTTGGTGAAGAAAATAGTTTGTCAGTGAGATATTACTGTAATTCATCTTAACTATGAAAACTACAGATAGATGGAATAACCAGATAATCATTCAAGATGAACAATTCATGTTGTTGCATTAAATATAAAGGTACCATAGTTACCATTATCAAAAGACAAGTTAAGAACCGCTCCACAGGCTGTAACATGATGTCCTGTTTCATAATTATGCTTTGCTTCCTCATTCTGAAGTTCTTTCAATTTGTTTAAGATTTTTTCAACTCCTCCAGCTTCCAATATCTCTTCACGAGCTTTATCTGTTAGAAATGAGGAGGTACCATTGTGAGAATTATGAGAATTAAATAAAACAAAAGAATTAGAAAAGGATCGAAGTTGGGTAAGAAAATACGAGAAAGTCGACTGAGGATGGTAGGGTCACATAAATGAGAAGAATGGATTGGAGGAAAACGAGTTTGTGAGCAACGATTATACAAAAAAATATTATGTGATCTTACTATTGTCACAGGCAATATTTCCTATTGCTCTAAAAATCTGAAGTACAACAGCAGGGTGTTGTGTTTCAATGCAGTTTATTATACATGGGATAAGTCCTGCATCCACACATAATTGACGAGTGTCTTCTGTAATAAATGGAAATATATACTGTAAGAATATGTGTAGACTGTGAGCGATCCCTCCTTTCGGCGGGTTTAGATTTCCGGGCATGCGAAAGGAAAGGAGGGACTGCCGACAACATATCAAGAAACAAAATACATGTTGCCCACACAACGCAAAATTCCCATTGGTTGAAATCAATACGCCTGTCAATTAAATCTGATACGTAGTAATTATGCTACAAATAATTTCCAGACTGAATGTTGATTTTATAAATAAACATGTCATTAAAGATATGGTGCAGTCCGGTCTGTGCATGCACACATAGGAGTCTCCTGCCGTGATACAAACACTTTAACTTCATTTTATGTTCTTGCAAAGCCTGATTGTTGTAGTTGATAATTTCTTATACTGTAGAAGCATGCAAATTTATATAAATAGTTGTCAAATAAAGTTCAATATTTTGAATACCCGGTACCGAAATGTAAACAAAGGCTTTGTTTACATACGGACTGTACCCTACCTTTAACAGTTCCTATTGGATAGATTTAATCGGATATAAGTAATGTTTATGCAAAGGCGGAGCCAACTTGACAAGAGCGAAAAGTGGGCATATTTTGTTTCTTGATGTGTTGTCGGCGGTCCCTCCTAAGGGACTGCTCGCGGTCTAGAATATGTGTGACGTTTTATTTCACTGTTTCCATTATCAGACTGTTGGTAAAACACGTTAAATTGTGCAAGTGTGGATTGTGCCATTCATATCTCTGTGTGTTAGAATTGAATCTTATGCAGTTTCCTGATTATAATCTCCCATCATTTGCATGTGAGAAGAGTGCTTCTAGTTTGACTTTACCAAACACCTGAGACTTTCCTTGGGTACTCCTCTTGTCGATGCATATTTTTAGCCCAGTAGAGGAAGTCGTCCAGTTGTTACATCGTGAATTATGGGGGTCTCAATACCCATTGTGCATGCTACAGTTGGAAGTCAACACACCAGATTTACAAATTTCAGCCGTTAATTCAAGAAGGGTTGCTTTCAAGTTTAAATCATCTGCTTCAAAATTTGATTTCAACAATGGCAGGATCTTCTGTATTTCTGAACCTGGCAAAACGTCTGAAAATAAACCATAAGTTACAGTTTTATCAAATATTATTATAAGTTCTTAATATTTTAAAAATTATGCATATTCATGTTCAATCCCCACCGATATTGCTAGCGCTCCTCCCCCCTCCCTCTTGATGAGTAAAATCATTAGACATCTGGAACAAAATAATAAAATAGGGTGCATCAGGGTGCAATGCAACTTAATGGCTTATACACATGGTCAGATAGGCTGGTTAATTTAATGTAGTCAGGTGAAATCGTCTAAAATTGAGCATTGGGCTAGTGTTCCAAAGGTCATAGGTTTGATTCCCACCAGGCATATTTTTCAAGCTTGCCCGGTGTGCATACACACTCGGAGTAACATCACAAGCATCATCTCAAATAATTTCACCTGAGTACATTAAACTACAATCGTAAACCCATACTGATTTTGAAAGAACTAGACTGAGTTCTATAAAATATCACCCACACACTAGAACCGACTTGACCTGATGGCATGTAGTAAAACACTGACTACCGGAACACCGGAACACCACCTAACCCCAACCGCCAACCCCAACCCTAACCCCAAACCCTAACCGCAAACAAAATGGTGGTGTTCCAGTGGTGTTCCGGTAGTCAGTGTTTTACTACATGCCTGACCTCATAGCTCAGTTGGTAGAGCATTGGACTATAGCAAGCCAAAGGTTGTGGGTTCGATTCCCACCAAGCACAGAGTTACATTATGTCAAACCGACTCGGTCTTAAGTTAAGTCTGTCGTGAGATTGTTGCAAGCACCAGAGTTTGACCACACCCTGATATGGACTGTCCAGATCACCCCTATTGAATAGGAAACCTAAATGAACTTTCTGGGACCTATTACAGCATACAACTGAAAATTCAGATGACAGGCCCTATTTTAACAACTTTCATTACTCCGTCTACGAAGATAACAAGTTATAAATATAATACCTTCGTTTTGTTTTAATGCTTCAAGCACTGTCCTGACAAGACCGACATCAGGAGGGTGTTGGTCATCGTTATTCGAAATCTCTTCGCCAGAGAGGAAAATTCGTAATTTTTCTAAGAGATCAGACAAATTATCCATTTAGCTTTACCTTTTCAACCACATAGTACGTTATATGTTCAGATATAAACCTCGAAACGGGCTGTGTTTACGTGAAGTAGCAAATATAAAACTTCGAAGTAAATAAATATGTGGGTTGTGTAGTACAGATAGGGTTTCAAGGGGATGCGTGTGTACACAATCGGTCAGTGCGTGTAATACACGCAGTTTCCACGCGTGTTCAAGGATAGCCTGCAAAGCAGGCGCTTTGGAAAACCCCTGGAAAAACCCGAGATTGTGCAAGCAAATCAATGTTATAAACAAATTTAGTCTTTTAGAGTTCAAAAAATTGTCGAGGTCATTGATTACATTTTATTCTAGCGGGCCATTCAAGGCATGTAATTTTGTAGTGAAGCTAAAACCATTGAACCGGCAAAGTTTCACTTGAATAAATTATGTATCAATGGCTTACGATAACGCCTTTCAATCAGGCAAATAAAATAGATGTAGCACTACAGGTATAGCTAGATTTTAATTCCCTTGGGGATTTTCTCGTTTCTAATTGGTCAGAAAGCACAGGCTAATTTTCAGTATTCATAATATTGATTGCATCCAAAAAAAAAATTATTGTACTCTCTCCACTGATCTGAAATAAGACTGGATAACGCATCTATAGTATACAAAAGTGAAGCCGGAAGTCACCGGCCGCCACCCGATTCTGGGGCCCCACTTTTGTATAGATTTGTATTACAGACGGTAGTTTTTCGCGTTTTTTGCCTTGGCTACGTTTCCGATCGGCCCAATTTTACAATCACAACGAGAGAAGCATACAAGAAGAGTTTTGCGCAAAAAATTTGGAGTATTATGGCTTTATAACGCCGCGAAACGGGATTTACAACTCTGAAGGAGTGGAGAGCCTCAGACTTTGTTTATCAGCACGAGCTTGTTTTGCTACTTTCATACAAAATCAACTCAAAATATACAAGAATTATTGTTACTGGACGAATATTCTCACGAAATTTGAAGAAATGAAGCACCTACATTGTGAACGAAAGCGTACAGAGGTTAGACTTTGTTTATCGACACGAGCTCGTTTGCTACTTTCATACAAAATCAATTTAAAATATATATATAGTCTATATACAGGAATTATTGTTTACTGGACGAATATTCTCAGGAAACTTGAAGAAATGAAGCAGCTACATTGTGAACGAAAGCGTACTGAGGTTAGTTTTAAAATACCTCGAGGCTACTTTTATAATTATACGAAATTAATAAGGAACAGTTTTAAATGTCAATTTTGTCAAAAGCATTCCTAGGCGACTTGTCGAAAAGTTTTTTTTAAAGTAGGAAGACAAGTGACAATGAAATATTTTTAATCCAAATTATAAACAACGATTCAATGTTATTTTAATTCATATAATTATGGAAGTGGCCTCGAGGTATTTTAAAACTAACCTCTGTACGCTTTCGTTCACAATGTAGCTGCTTCATTTCTTCAAATTTCCTGAGAATATTCGTCCAGTAACAATAATTCTTGTATATTTTGAGTATATTTTGTATGAAAGTAGCAAAACGAGCTCGTGTTGATAAACAAAGTCTGAGGCTCTTCATTCCTTCAGAGTTGTAAATCCCGTTTCGCGGCGTTATAAAGCCATAATACTCCAAATTTTTTGCTCAAAACTCTTCTTGTATGCTTCTCTCGTTGTGATTGTAAAATTGGGCCGATCGGAAACGTAGCCAAGGCAAAAAACGCGAAAAACTACCGTCTGTAATACAAATCTATACAAAAGTGGGGCCCCAGAATCGGGTGGCGGCCGGTGACTTCCGGCTTCACTTTCGTATAGTATAGATCAGTGGTATAGATGCGTTATCCAGTCTTATTTCAGATCACTGAGCTATACTATATTACTGGAGGAAGTGCTCGGCAAAAAAGTGTCCGCAAAAACATGGCGGATTTTCGCGCCATATGACGCCATTTCCATGACAACTGGTTCCTCCGGCTCATGAAATTACCGCTGACCAGGCTCAATTCTGAGCCCGCTACAATTTTCACCCCCCCTGGTTTTATCAAAAAAATTTTTGCTTTTCGAGGTTTTTGCAGTAAAATCTCGTTGTTTTTTTATATTTTTTGAATTTTTTCGACTTTTGACCATTTGTTAAAAGATTTAAAAGTCGTACACGCTATTCTCACCCGCGAAAGACAACAAACCAATATGAAAAGCCCGAGAAATTTAGGCAAAGGCGATATTTGATGGCAGAGCTCACAGGTAAATATTTCACATACTATTGATATGTTTTTATTTTTAATTTTTAAAAGATAATGGGAGTAAATGATAGAATACAATCCATTAGATAACAGGCTCTTTGTATAGTATAACGTATTATTTTCCCCCATGTGTTCAAAGTCTTGTCGTAAAAAAATACAGAAACTTTGTTTCTATATTCAAATTAAGTTTTTTTGTTGTTTTTTTCTTACTTTTACTAGCTTTGTTAAATTGTTGGCTGGCCATGGTTTTTGTTAAACAAATGTTGTTTTATTTAATTCAGTTAAATCAGTTTTTTCCTTCAAATCCTTTGGGTTTTCTATATAGACTGATGACTGAAATCTGACATGCTTGATTTTATGCAATTGTATGTGCTAAATAAGTGTATGTACAGGTGTAAAGGCATGAAACAATGTGCTTCTATCTATATTCTTTGTGTTTATATATACTAGAGTCTGTGGTTATTATAGTATGCATAATCTATAGGGTGCCAGTACAAGCTAGCCTAGAGGTGCCAGATTAGCTCAGGATACTGTGGGCAACTTATCTGGTAATATGATTTCTACCTAGATTTCTGACTAATGACATGTTGATTTGAGGATTCTTGAGCCACTAGAAATAGGATTGTACTTCTTGAATGTTGGGTACCAATCACAAGTGTAGGTATAAGCAAAGTATCTAGATTATAGGCTTTATAGGGTTGCACTAGAACTCATTATACAGGCCAGAACTGAGAAAGTCACACATGCTAGTCAGACATCAAGTCAGAAACAATTTAATTGGTAGATAATGTCACTTCCAGTCCATGCAGGTGGATTTATTTGGGGTTTTTGTTCATTTCAGTCCTCTCTCTGTGCACCCCTGTATCAGATGCAACTACCTGAAACTAAGAAATCAATGAACTTCAACATTTCAGGTGAAA